TTAACACTGTTAAGAAAATCACAAAATAAATATTGATCCATACACCTCACTCCAAAGAAATTTCAGTGGGCCCCATGCAGCTTGAAGGTTTTCTTATTTTTATCTTCTTTCTTACAAAGAAATATTAGATCCTCATCAACACAGTCTTTCCTAATCCAATAGATACACATAAACTGGATTAAAATCTCCACCAGATCTCCCACCCCCATCTAGATAGCAGATGACTGGGCAAGTTTGCCTTGATGCCACCAAGCCTTCTCCATAGAGCAAAGTCAGTTCTCTGACTCTTTTTCAGAACCAGTTCCAACATGGGCAGATCTCATCCCCCTTCTCTCCTTGACTAGAAGAAGCAATAAATTGCATATGCCCATCACTAAAGCCTTCTGAGACCATCCCAGCTCCCTTTTAATAATGTTGCCAGATATTATCAAATGCTTTTTGTCAGGTCTTATGAGACCCCTGTATCTTAGATTTTAAAAGTATAGAGGTAGGAGGTATCCTATGAATTCATCTTGACAAAAGCCTACCACATGGAAATATTGAGGTTATTTTCTTAAAGACTGGAGATCACACCCAGGCCTAAGGGTTTCATGCAGCTCTGAGGTTTAAATTGTGCATTCCCCATCCTACAAACATTTTCCTAACGTAAGAGCCATGCATCTGTTATCCTCAATCCCCAAGCAAATGTTTTAGGGAAGAAGATCCAAAATGATTTATTTGGAAATTAAAAAGGAAATCCATCTAACTATAGCCAGGATAGAACCTGCTGTCATGCCCAGAGAAATTATGTGCTATTCCTAATCTGAAAAATTGAACAATCTGCACTGTATTAGCAGAGGCAATAAAAGATAAATGATTAAGAGATTGCACAACCTGGTCCATTAGTTAACATCAATGCAAAATCTGTCTTTCAGAACAGGGGTGAGGGGAGTGGTTAAATTGCACATTAGAGAATAGATAAGCAATGGATTAAAAATATCTGCAATGGGATCTTTTCTGGGGCAGAACATCCAGGCTAGGATATTATTTGCTACCCTAGCTGATATTTCCAAGAAACCTACAAAGACAATATGAGTATAAAAATCCCAATAAACGAATAATCCTCAAATTCATTTAGATGCATGAAAGAGTACTTCCTATCTATTAGCAACCAATTTCATCAAGTCATCTGGGATTCTACGATATTGGAGCAGAAAACTCTTTTACCAGCTGCTTTCTCAATGCTATGTATAGACTCATAAATATATAATCTCAATTGTGTTCCAGCTTTTCCTTATAGGACATTGGTTAAAAGTCCTTTTTGAGATGATCCTTTATAATAGAAATGCAAAATTGGAGGTCTTTGGGCCCAAATAACTCCAAAGGTTTTGTTTGTTCTCCCAGAACTCTTCCAAAAGTTACCTCCCAATTGAATTTTGTAACGTGGCAGAAGGGAAGCTATCATATCAACTGTATTTAATTCCTTACATTAAAATGAAATTAAGGGTGCCCCCTCAATAACTGCTAAAAAAAACAAGTGTGGCCCTCTGACAAAATGAGTTTGTGCACTCCTGTATTCTAAGATGGAAGAAATGCTGGTGCTCTTTAAAATGAAACATTTTGGGTGGTTCCAGCTCAAGAAAGCCAACATAAGTAAGATCCAATTTCTCTCTCTCTCTCTCTGGCATCCACTCCCTTTCTGTTTGTTCCCTGAATTAGTTGCCTCCTTCTAAAAGAGGACTCTTATTGTATTTTGTGTGTTGGAGATAAATGATACTTATTTACTCCCCTGAAAGTACTTCTCCAATAAAAGGAAGAATCAGTTTAGAATTTAAAAAAAAATACTTACTGGCTTGAGGAAGGTGGTGATAGAAGATCAGTCCATTCCCAGAATGTGTTTGTTGGTATTAGGATGTCTACTCACAGAATTATTATTTCAGGTACAGTACTTGGTTGGGTTCTAGAGGGTGGAGGCATAACTTCTGACTCATCTGGCGAGTTCCCTGGGCAAAATGTTCTTAATGGGCCTTTGTCCTCTGCAGACCAACTTCTTTCTCACCTTCCCTCAGTTTCTAGTCACCTGTCTTCTCCCTCTCGGCTTAATCAACGCCACTCCCAAGGAAAGGGCATGATGCTCCTTCTGGATACTGTCACTGCTTGCTCTGTCAGTCATGCATTAAGCAAGCAGAATTGTCTAGCAAAATAAATGAGCAGAGAGGAGAAGAAATACAGCAAGGAAAGTCTAGAAATTGGCTGTAGGCCTTTGCAGGGACTCAGCGGTTCCCATCTCCTAACTCCAGGATGAATCTGAGAGGGAAGCCAGCTGAGCTGGACAAGATGTGAGTGAGTTGGGAACGCAGCAGTTGGGTTTGACTTGGGGAATAGACAGAGGCCAGCAATTTATTGCATGTATTGTAAGCCAATTCAAGAAACAGACACAGCAGATAACAGGGGGTGCGCTTTACTGTAGTATAACAGAGTCTTGAAAGCCCACCCAAGTTCCTCACTGACCCATTTTATACTAAATACAATCAAAATAGGGTTATTTTGGGTTTCTTTCTCATGCTTCCTGCCATTTCAGGGCTGTTCTCTTCTGCAAATTGACTCTTTCCTTCCTCCATGAATGGGTCTCTTAGACCTGTCCCAAGGTCAGCTCTAAGCTCCTTTACATATATTCATCTAGACATTATATAAGCACACACAGAGGAAAAAATGAAGAGTCTTCTTTTGGCAACTGGCCCCAGAGCAAAACAAAACACAGGCAACAAAACCTGCTTAGGGCTTTTCTTTCCCTCTCCGTTGCTTCAAAATATCAAGGTTCAAGTGATTATAGTTATATAGCCATGACATAAGCAGAGAAATAACAAGTTAATTATCCATCTGCAGTTCCTAATATATGCTGCATGAGTTACTCTGGTCGATGGGCCTGTTGGGATGATCAGGGACAGGTGTCATCAATATGCTGATGGCCCCTTATTATACATGCCACTCCAGGCTTAGCTGAGATGCCATGGAAAGCCTGAATTAATGTCTGGCAACTGTTAGGGATTCGATGGGGTAAACCAAACTCAGATTAAATCCTACCAAGATGGAGTCGCTATGTATCAATAAACATCTAGACAGTCTAAAAACATTAGTCCCAGCAGTTACTCTGGATGGGGCTGTGCTCTTCCCTATGGTTCATAACATAGGGATCTTTCTAGACATGGAGATCTAGAGGGACTTTTGCCCAGCTTCACCCAGTACACCAGTTAGAATTCTACCCAAACAAGGATGCCTTGGCAATAGTAACTGGCACCATTGGCTGGACTAGTGCAAGGTATTCTATGTGGGACTGGGTCAGAGGATGTCAGGCCTAGCCCAAGGAACTCCAGGAGACCATGCAGATTCAGTTCAGCAATGTTTA